TGTTCCCTTTCCCAGTACAATATGCAGCTATAATTTATATTTTTAAATTGTATTATGTAGCCTTATGACTTATTTAATTAATATAATAAAATTTAGTGCATATATAGTTGCTGTTCCCTGAGGGTATGTTTAAAGTACCTTTTAACACTTTTGGCTGGCCCCATCAGACTCAGGCTTACAGGGGTTGGGCTATGGCACTGTTTCATTTCAGTGTATGTGTTCAGGCTTGGCTACAGCCTGAGCCTGAATATCTGCACTGCATTTAACTAGCCCCATAGCTCAAGCTTGTTGAGCCCAGCTCAGCTGATAAAAGCCAGCGGGGTATTCAACTGCTTTGTATATATACACTGATACACATTTCACACTTCCAGTTTGTCTCTTTTTACTAATTTCCTGGCAGAAGCAGACAAGCAATGTTTAGTGGTTTTAGCAGAAGATAAGCTCACTGTTTGTGCACTGGAAATAGTCTATCTTTCCAACTAAATTAGTGTATATAACTTATTCCCGATTATTTAGTTTTCATACTTAGAAAGCCTTTGCAGTGGGATAGAAATCATATAAGGAGGAGAAGGTTATATTGAAGAAAGGTGTTTTACATTTATGTCAGAATTATAAACAACACCAGTGAGTTACAGTTTGACAAAATGATTTGTATGCATCTATATTGTAAGTTGCAATTGCAATTTCAGCTGGCTATATTCTTTTCTATATGGCTACATCTACACTACAAGTTTTGCTGGAAGAGGCAATGCAAATGAAGCGCGGATTAGCGTTTTCTCGCACTTCATTTGCATACTCTCTTCCGACCTGTTTTTGTGCTAGGCGTTTTTGCACAAAAACAAGCAGTGTAGAAGTTTCCTTTTTGCGCAAAAAGGAAATGTTCACACTGCTTATTTTTGTACAAAAACCCCTAGCACAAAAACAGGTCGGAAGAGAGTATGCAAATGAAGTGCGAGAAAACGCTAATCCGCGCTTCATTTGCATTGCCTCTTCCAGCAAAACTTGTAGTGTAGATGTAGCCATATAGAAAAGAATATAGCCAGCTGAAATTGCAATTGCAACTTACAATATAGATGCATACAAATCATTTTGTCAAACTGTAACTCAATGCATATGTCTGTTTACATTACCAAAAATAGAAGTTCATCTAGCGAAATGGAAGCTATACTCCTAAATCTCAAAAGGTGCTTTCTCTTGTGTTGCTTTTTTTAAAAAATTCAGGAAGACATGTATTGCAATTCATACAGTACTTAAGTACTTTTTAAAATCCATTTACTATTTACCATGTATTTCATGAAGTTAAATGCTAAGCAGAAATAATTTGACCTTTGAGTCAACAGCTTCCAGACATTAACATTTAGGAGATAGTGTTTTAAATACTATTATTGGTTTTGTTTTTTTGTTATTCATGGGAAACAGGAAAAAATATTTTCTTTTACAAGTCGCCCTGATACCTCTACATGCTCAGTTACATGCTAACTGCTTAAAAATTGAGCAGTTCTTCAAATTGTTCCATAATAGTTTTTCTCAAGTTGTGAAGTGCTACATTTTGGCACCTCTAATCATGTTAAGCTTGATCATCTTGGAGAATATGAGGAAAATATAACAAAAGATTTTCTTTACAATTGTGTGTTCTAAAATAATGGTTAACATATATAGACATATAAAAAGACAGTTACATAAATTATACTGTTATTTGCAGGCACGTAACATTTTGCAAAAAACTGTGAAGGTGTTCAGATCTACATTAGAAGAAAGACCTAACAGAAAGTCTGAATTGGGTTTTATAATTACATCCCTTGAAGCCAGGTAATATTTGATAAAGATATAGTAATGCGTGTGTTTGTAGTATTTGCTTTTGGGGGGGGGAGTATAATATTAGCTATATATGTCTTAGAGGGGTAGACATGTTAGTTTGTAACTTTAAAAATGAGTAGTTCTGTTGCACCTTAGAGACTAACAAATAAATACACTATATATATTTATATCACGAGCCTTCGTGGGCAAAACCCACTGTGGGTTTTGCCCACAAAAGCTCATAATACTATATGTGTGCATGTGCGTGAGTGTGTGTGCACGTGTGTGTGTGTATTTGTTAGACTCTAAGGGCATGTCTACACAGCAGCGTTATTCCAGAATAATGAATGCTATTCCAAAATAAATATGCAAGCTCTACACAGCAAGCCCACTATTTCAAAATAATTTTGAAATAACAGGCATCTTATTCTGGATTCTATAACCCTCATTCTACAAGGAATTAACACCTATTCCAAAATAGCTATTTCAGAATAGGGCATGTGCAGACAAGGCAGCTAGAGTTATTTCGAAATTAGTGGCCTCTGGAAAATCCCACAGGTGTCCTCCTGGCCACTCCGTCCACACTCATCAGAACTCTATAGCCTTTAAAGCTGCAGGCAAAAGAGAAAGAGCTTGTGGCACGAAGCAGGCCCTGCTTGCATCATGCCACACAGCAGGACTCTGCAGAGCCTTCCCTGCTGCTCTGGCCAAGCCCACTGCTCCAGCCAAGCCTCCCACAGCTGCCAGCACTGCCTCAGGAAGCTGCCAGGACCCTGCCCGGGGCCAAAAGAGGGGAACACCATCCTCATTTGGTGTAGAGATCCTGGGTCTTCTTGAGATCTGGGGTGAGGAAGAAAACCAGTGGGATCTCCGCAGCAGACACAGGAATGCAGACATTTATGTCTGAACGGCCAAAAGCCTGGGCCACATGCATACCCAGGAGCAGGTACACATAGAAGTCAAAGAACTGAACCAGGCCTACAGGAAGGCCTGGGAGCTCAGGTCCTGCCCCTACTATGGGCAGCTCCATCGCATCCTGGGGCGGGGGGGCAGTCCCATCCCTGCTTCTTCATTGTGGACTCTGAGCTGGAGATGCCCGTTATCACCTTCCCAGGGGGTAGAACCAGTGTGGAGGAGGAGAAGGAGAAGGAGACGGACAAGGCCAGCACCAACTCCATGCCTGCTAACCAGAAGGCCATGCTCGCCCTGCAGCTGGTATCCCCCTCCCAGGATGTCTCCTGGGCATTATCCAAAGCCAGGAAA